TTTATAAATCCATTTTCTTGCATCTATTTGTAATATTGCAAATTATTGCATTTTAGTTAAAACTGCATGACTTCACGTGATTATGTTTGAGATTCAAGCCTAGCATTAGAGAAGCTGGTAAATGACTTCCTCTGTATCGTTTTTGATATGTATCATTGGAGAGCACCAAATTCTGCTTGCAATTATCCAGGTACACTGGGAGTGACAATAACCTTCCACTGCTTGCAAATCTAACGCAGCAAGAGGCCAAAAAGTACATAGATAATTCAGCCTACAGAGATGGTGTTACTGCTCTGGTATATTGGAACTCTACCATGTGCTTAGCAAAAAATCACTGTTTATCAAGCTTTACTTTTTGATCTGGACAGTAAGTACATTTAGATTTGGGAAGCTGATAAATAATTGCAGTAAAAAGCATGAAGATTGTTGTAGTTGGCTTGCAAATAAGATAATTATTTGGGAATGGGAAGAAATACATACATTTTAGAAAAATAAACAATAACGTCTTGTTAGTTGCATCTGGTTTGTTTGCATAAACTGTGATTCATATCTGCATATGTTGTTTTTGGCTTTTGTTATGGTGTTGTAGAGACCTATTGAATTTAGCTAATAAATATAGTAGTCTTAGTTAAAGGTCTCCACTTGCAGGCACTTTAGCTTTCAATTTGGGGAAGTAAATGTATGTTGTATATTATGTACACCTTTTACTCTAACAGGACTAATAGATGAAAATGACTAATAGATGAAAATGTTGAGTGCTCTGATAATCTACAAATGCAAACATTTATTAGGGTAACAATTGCCCACACTATGGTGGTTCTGATCCTTAAATGACTTGGCTTTGCATGAAATAATGCATTTTATTTGATGTTTTTTGTTCTTTTCTTGAAAGCTGAGGCAATTTCACATCTGAAAAAACACATTCATTTTCTATGCACACCCATTTAAAACAATTTTTAAAACTGTATTGCCATTTGTTTTCTAATAGTTAGTTGCATATCTGTTACGTCCCACTTTACCATGGGTATATCTGCAGAGTATTAAGTTCCTTTGAATGTAGCCTGGGTATATCAGTGATACCACATTGTGCATTTGATTGACTGATACTTTGAAAATCTGAATGTCTCTTTGATGACTTCTCAAAGAATGCAGCTCTTCAAATGATTTATGTAGGTGGACTGCAGTATAAATCAAGGCTTTTAAAGTTTAGATTTATAAGCCTTCAAGTTCTGTATTGCACTCTTAAAACGTAAACTAATATACTTACCCCTCACAATGCACAAATAAACATTTTTCTCTGGAGAGCTGAAATGCAGTTATCAAGGACTGAGCATGGAAGAGTGGAATAACCGATAAGGCTGTTGCTACTCTTATTCCTTCTTAGAGGGAACCTAGGGTTTCTGCATTCAGCATTTTTATCAGTTTAAGTCTGCTATTGCCTGCTCAAAGAATTAATAATAAGCAGTGTGAGGTAGACCCTCACTGGAATCAAGAGATTACCTTAAAGTGTGGAGATTGGCACGTCCTTATTGGATGACACTGGGTATGATGATGAGGTTTTTTTCTCAGATCAGATATTTAAAGGCTGTGGGAGGGTTTTTTTTTTTTTTTTTTTTTTTTTAAAGTTTCGTTTATCTTTAGGATTTGATTTATGAAGGTTCCCAAACTATAAAAATTTGACGTTGGTGTATCTGTATTCTGAAACAACTTGATACAGTGATTGCTCTTGGGGTTTTGATGAAAATTTAAGAGGAAATGCCTTTTCTCCCTCCCTCTTTGCCTCCCTCCCTCCCTATATTGTTACATAAATAAATGTATATTGCTACAGCATGTTACAATGGTCTTACAAGACATTTCCCATGGATATCATGTAGATAGATAATTTCACTTTTCACTACAGTTCAGTTAAAAGAAACTTGTGCTAAGATTCAGAAACCTGCCTTCAGTTACAGAGCTGTTCATACAACTCTTATTAATGACCCAAGGTAAAAACTGTGTTCTTTCAGATGATTCCAGCATATGGGAAAAATTAATTTTGAGGTCTTCTATTGGCAAAGAAAAAGAACATATGCTATTCTTATAAATCTCACTTACTGGTTGTGGTTTTTATTTACCATCAGATATGTTTTTATTTTTATATTTTTATATTTTATATATAAAAGTGGACGCAACATTTAAAGTTAGTCTTTAGGCCATTATACTAATTGCTTAAAGGCTTTTGACACCTCAAGTTATGATGTTGGAGCTTTAGTGTTCATAACAGATGGTCCATGCTCTGATTCCTCTGTAGGTCAAAAATTTTATTTCTTCTAGCAGTTATCCCTGCTCTCATTCTCTTGAACTGTTGGGTCCAAGAAAAAAAAAAATCCAAAATTAGTAACAGTGATAATGGACTACCATCTCTCTTGCTTTCCTGTGGTTAATATCTTTCTAACATCGAATGAATAGTATCATAAATAATTATTACAAAAATTTCCCTTTTCATAGAGCCTAGAATATTAACTAAAATGAAGAGATTAAAAGTTAAGCAGGTCTAAATTTATGATTTCAGGATAAATTCAGGATTTTCTGCAAGTAAGTTAAGGCATAAATCTTCCCTGAGCATTTTTAGGATTCCTTTGATAGAGTTCCATTATTAAGATCACAAAATAGAGCAGAAATCATATTTATGTATTCATTTTAAAAATTATTTAAGAGTTAAGCTATAATGTTGCAGGGTGAGTTTTTTAAGAAGTAATTCTAAAATGCTGGTAAATAAACTTAAATTTAAAAAAAGCAGGAAAACATTAAGTAGTGTAGCCAATACGTAAGTAATGATGGAAGACCTTATTACAAACATGAAAGCATTATTTTTCTTCTAATCAGAACAGATAAATTCAGCGGTTGTTTATAAAAGAACACGCATATTTAATCATCAGTGGTTTCCAATTTGCAAATGTTTTCCCTGGTGACATTTCAGGAATTATTACTGTATTTTATGTTAATTATTTTAAGTTACATTAATATTTTCTTTTATGAAATCATTGTCACATAAAAATTCTAATTCTGACTTATTTTTTGTAATTACTTGGTTAGATTAATGTGCTAGTTATGCTAGTTATTTTTTTGTGATACTTTATTTCACTGTAGTGCTAAACAAAATCCTTAATATCTGTTCTTTGATCTTTCTTTTTCCAAAATTAGAGAGAAAGCTACAATATTTATGATTTTAAGAGAGATAATATTTAATAATATGATTTCTAGTAATAAATTCTGAAGAGTTTTCTTTCAGTATATCTAACCAAAGTGAAATCTCATTAAGCTACCAGGATACAGCACAGGAGGCCAAAAACTGTTTTGTGTCATAGGAGATTTGCTTAGTAGAAAAAGAAATGTTGAATTTGATGAAAACCCACTGCTTCTTTGAGCAAGTGTTTCAGTTGGAAATTCAGGACCGAACTTAGGTCTACCATATTGCATGACTGTGACAGAAAGGTAAATTCTGGAAATTTTTGACCATGGTGGAAATGCTCTTGGAAGTTGTCTTCAGAACGGATTCTGCAGAGAGCTCTGTTTTTCCTGTTTGTGACTGAGGATAAATTCAGGCTGCAGGTGCAAGTACTGAAGATGTGAAGGAGCACTCCATGACTTTTGGAAATGCTGAAACAGATAATATGTCTGGCTTTGGAATTTCTGACTGTGTCCATCTTTAAGGCTCTTGAAAGTACAGCATTTGTTACTACACAGTTTCGGTTGATTTTCACTAGATTTAGTGTTTTTACATCCTAATTTTTCAGTCATCTAAGAGACTTACAAAGATTTCTTTGCCATGGAAACAAGTGCAGGCGGGAGATAAGCTGCTTGCTGTGGGCCAGATGGACTCTGCAGTTGAACCTGGGTACTTGTTAGGGCAGTAGGAGAGAGCTGGCTCGTAGATGAAGGACATTTTCTGCACCTTGCTGTGGTGATCAGAGCTGTGGGCTGCTCTTGCCCTGCCTGTGCCAGGCAGTGAGTGAGAGAGAAGCTAAACGGGGTCTTCAGTGCATAAGGTGTGCACTGCCAGCGTGCGCCCTGTGGCCTCTAGCCGTGCATGGGAATTGGCATTAAGTAAAAATACACTTCATGTGACATTTGCTTGTTAATTCTTTCTTTCTTTCTTTCTTTCTTTCTTTCTTTCTTTCTTTCTTTCTTTCTTTCTTTCTTTCTTTCTTTCTTTCTTTCTTTCTTTCTTTCTTTCNCTTTCTTTCTTTCTTTCTTTCTTTCTTTCTTTCTTTCTTTCTTTCTTTCTTTCTTTCTTTCTTTCTTTCTTTCTTTCTTTCTTTCTTTCTCTGTTAGCAAGATTTTGTTGGTTGCAAATATAACATTGATGGATGTTTAAACACTTCTCATCTTGAAATATTTTAAAAACTTGTGCACGTTGCTTTATCCTCGCTGGATTTTTTTGACAATGTGTGTGCTGAAACTTCTGTTTTAATCACATTAATATCACATTGACCAATAACAAGTTTTAAAATCATCTTAGTTATCAGTATAACTATTTTTTTAAACCACCCTACCATTACAGTGTTTTGTATTTGCTATCACCGCGAAGATATACACACATGAGAAATTTGTGTATATTAGCAATCTTGTTCAGTTCAGCGAGGAGCACTCTAGTAGACAGATGTTGGCAAAATTAGCAGTTCCTCAAATTGCTACAAGAGCTTTGTAAATCCAGGAAATCTTCAAAAATCGCATTTTAACAATCATAAGCTTTGATTGGCGTAGAAAGGTTGTTTCCCCAAATCTAAGAGTATATTTTACATTTACTAACTTATTTTCCAGTTCCTAGCTGTGCATTATAAAAGCTCTGTCTTTTGAGAAAGTGGTATTCTAAATAAGTCTTTAATTGAAATTCTATGCTTAGATATGTTTTATATCTGTACAATAAAGTTCTGTAATTTTATCAGCTAGTGCACTGATTGCTGGTTTATTTATGGAAGCTACTGTTAGTATTCTGTAATAATTGAATATTTTTTTAGCAGGTCAGGTTGTTTCCCCACAGTCTGCTCCAGCCTGTGTTGAGAATAAAAATGATGTGAGCAGAGAAAACAGCACTGTTGATTTTAGCAAGGTAAGTGCTTGCTGACTGCAGTCAGAGCTTCCCGACTATAAAACAGATATTTTTAATTAAATAAAATGAATCTGTGTCAATCAAGTAAAGCTGTGAAATGACAGTTCTGCCTCAGCATTAATTTTCATGTGTATTGCAGCACAGAATTTCTACAAAGCACAAAATAATTTTTCATTTTCCAAATAAATGACTCGTAATGAGAAATCACAATTTAAGAACTTAGATGTAGTTTTTGTTGCATAACAATATAATAGATGTAGAATTAGAGGGGGAACTTCTACAAATTAACAGAAAATTATAAAAATAGGAAAGTATTTTAGACTTCTTACAATTCAGGTTTACCTCTCAGATTTATATTTTTTGTGGAATTGCATGCATGAATGCAAACTGTGCTTTTTATAACCTGATCTCGTGGATTCCAGATGTCTTAAACAGAATGTGTTTCTGTAAACTTATAACTTAATTCTTCTGGCAAGCTGAGTCATTTCAGTACGCTTCACAAAAGACATTAGCTGCTCAGGAGTGGAAATTGCAATGACAGTTCAGTGTTATAGAGCAAAGAGAAGCAAACAGCTTCTCAGCTTTAATGTGAAGGAAAACTCTAATTTAAAGAGTCTGTATGCACTTAAGACAAACTGTCACATTAGATACAGACCTGGTAGGAGTAGATGACATCAGCTCATGCTTTGATACAACACAGGTTGAGGAAATGAAGAAGGTGACTTAAACCAAACTTCTGAAGAACGGTTCTTTGAGCCTCTTGAATCTCGATGTTGGTGTAACTGAGCTAAAAGTAAATGTGATTGCTCCATCTGGTGCCAGACTCATTTCCTAGCAGCAGCTGAAACCTTGAGTGAGCAATGCTAGCACTAGGAATCGTACATGGCCAAAACAAGGATGGGGAAAGGATCTGTTTGTAAGAGGTGGGGAGAAGAAAGGCTGGGTACATACTGCACATCGTATTTGTAGAGAGATAGCAAAGAGGTCTTTGAACAGTGACATGCTAATCCTTCAAAAATATTCTAAATGAAGAATAAATGGAGAATATAATGCTTTTGAAAGGTGAATATATTTGTTTTCTGGTATTTAAATTAAAAGCGTTAACTAATTTTTTGGCATTTAGTCTAATATTAATGTTTGACATTTTTGTAAAGACTATCAAATATAAATAATAATGTTTATTCAACATTAAGCTGCACGGAGATTTAAGTTTTTAACAATGCAAAGGGAATGACATGACTTTCAGTAGTGCTTTTCTTGCATATTTCCACAACTGATGTGAGTCTTGCAGGAATTCAAATTGCGCGTCCCTTTTCTAGTGGCACCTTTTCTAGTGGCAATTTTTACATTAAACAAATCTGGAGGCTGCCCCATTTGCCCCTTCCCCCACTAGCTCTCTAGCACTGAGGTTCTGCAGATCAAAAGAGCCCTTCCTGTGTTAACTGCACGAGAGCAGATCAGCATGTCATCTTTGGTCTGTCCTTCAGTCCCTGAGCAGTTTTAGGTACCAACAAGAATTTCCGAAATATGAAAGAGGCATCTTGTGTTTGGAGGAATAAAGTGAGAATAAGGAATTGTAATTGAAGTAGCTTTTCTGACTGTCTTTAAATAGATTTGTGTATGTTCTTGAGGATGCATATGTAATGTACAAATTCCCCTTGAAATGTGCTATTGCAATAACTCCCAATGGTTCTAATTGGTATTATATGCACAGATTGAGAAGAAAGTAGAGCAGTGCACTAATTTTCTCTTGAGTATTGTGATTCCTTGCTCTAATTTTGTTCCACATATTAATTTCATTTATCTTTTACAAAAAAGCACCTTTGACTACCTCACTTATTCTCTCCTTGCTAATCTATTTCCCTTGGGTTGCTTCTAATATTCCAAATTTTGGAGTTGATTCAAAAAGCTGACTTAATCTTAGTGCAGCGCTGAGTCTGTGTTGATTGTATTGGTATCTATTTATGAAGAATGTGAGACTCGACACTAAAAGCTGTGTCTTGAATGTTGCTTCAGTAGCATAAAGACGGAGACATATTTTCTCATGTTTGTACTTCTCAATGTGTCACTGTTCTTCCCCTGGGGACACCACTAGGACTTTATATTCCCAGGACAATATAGAGGGAGTTTAAATGCTCTGTCACAGCACCGCTTTATTCTGTGCTTCGGTAGGATGGGGATTACAGTCTATAATTTACATATGGCTGGTCCCTGCTTCTTATACTAGAGGCTCAAGCAGAGTTTTTAGGAGCTGTCCTGAAATACGAAATGCATAAAGAGTCTGCACCTCGGTTCCTTCTCGTAACAAAACCCCTTGGCTTCACATGTATTTGTGAGTCCAGGCTTCATCCCATACTAATAGTGTCTTACTTTTTTCAAATTCTATGTGAAATAATTAACTTGTTTTTGAGTTGATGTTGTTTTTGATGGCTGTTCTTATAAATAAATTAGATTAATACAGGCTTTCCCACGAAGTGCTGTTGATTAATTTCTGTATGCAATGTCAATTTGTATTTCAGTTCTAGGGTAGCGTCCCCCTACACAGGCACATATGCTTGAACCCACTGGAACTTTTAAGTGCCAGAACCTGGATGCAGATTAAAAGTGCAAATTAGGGCCGTCAAACTAGCGAGTGCTTGTGAAGCATTTGAAGGATATAGCTTTTCTCTTTGCATCCGCTTTCACTAGGTAGTGAGAGCAAAGCATAGAGTTTGGGCCCAAGTTTGATGCTTTTCCACCACCTACTTTGATTTGAATTATGGCTCAGTTCACAATTTACAAGACCTTGGAAACTCAGCCTCTACAGGAAGGAAGTACATCTGGAAATACTTTTCAGTGGACAGGAGCCTGATGATTTCTTTCAGATGTGAGTCTTGGTCCTGTGATCTGTTAGTGAATAGGTATTAAATTATTCACAAAGCAAAAAGAATGTAGAATGTACAATTGAGTATTGTGCCTGAAAGATTGCATTTTTCCTCTCAACTGTAAATGATCCAATATTCCAAAATTAGTGTAAAATTACTGTGTGTAAATCTGGATTTTGTATTTAACCCAGGGAGCTATTTAGTGAATTGGATAAGGAAAAGAATTGACCTCACTGGTATCTTTATTTGAAAAAGTGCCTGGAGACCAACTTTCCAGGTTGAATTAATGGTTGTATGACTTAGTGAAGAATTGGTTGTAGATTGGATTAAGATAACGGTAGACATTCTCTTTGTGATCTCAGAGCAATAAGATTTCATTACACAGGCAACTGTGTTATATCTGAATTCTGATTTAGTGCCAGAGCCATTTGCAAGAAAACAATTTTCTAAATATTACCAAAAACTATGCAAACTAGCACTGACAGATGGCTGTAAGATAGACATTAAAATGGTCCACTTTAACAGTTTATATTGGATTTGGTTGCTGTTGTTGTGTTTAGATTAATAAAAGGAAAGCAAATGACAAAAAATCATGCATTTTGAAATGTAGACAATACTGGTGCATAATGAAATCAAACATACATTATATACTCTATTACTCCATGTCAATCTTTATTATAGAGTAAACTGTAGATTGATACTGAGGAAGTAATGCAAATAAGCACATTATTGCTATATGAATAACTAGAGTTTAAACAGTAAGGGAATGATAAATCTATTTCTGTTTCTTACCCCACCTCCTCAAACTGTCAACAACCACTGCCTTATAGCTTCAGGTTTTTCTTCTACTTTACACTTTCATTTTATGCTTGAGGCAGTTATGGTCATAGTTTATATATTGCTGTTTTCAGTAGATGGGGAAGTACCTTCCACCAAATCTTGACAACCAAAATACTTCTACAGAAGCAGAAGGAAGATTAGAGGAAGTGGAGACTGTTTTTCTCATTGTTAGGTGGTCTCTATGAAGAGTGAATTCATGTTTTCCAGCATTGTTAATTATGGAAGAAGGAGCAGTCTTGACTGCTTAGGTGGTTATGATTTAATGATAGGAAAAAAAGCATTAATAGAAAATGCATTATATTATTTTCCTAACAAAATTTTGATTGTAATTTTCTGTCTTTATAAATTAATTCTGCAGTACTTCAGTTATATTTCTAAGGCACAATTAACCCAATGCTGAAAAACTAGTTTTTTTTTGTTGTTGTTGTTGTTGAGAAATGCTTAAAAAAATATGCAACAGACCAGAATGCTAGGAACAGTATGACTATAATAAGTAAGAGCATAAGATAACTTTTGCAAACTCACTAAAGTTTGTTTTTTTATTCTTTTGGCCAGCTGCCTTTTAGGGTAACTGGGATAATCTAATCTATTTTTCCAGGTTGATCTACACTTCATGAAAAAGATACCACCTGGAGCTGAAGCATCAAACATTTTAGTAGGTGAACTGGAGTTCCTGGACCGGGCGGTTGTTGCGTTTGTGAGGTTGTCTCCTGCAGTGCTGCTTACAGGCCTGGCTGAAGTTCCTATTCCAACAAGGTACCGATAGATCTACCTCTGCTTGTGATTTTCTAGACTGTGTCCGTTGTGGAGACAAGGTGATGTGGCCTTCAACTTTAGATGTTTAAGGATCCTTTTAATCATAAGGATGATTAAATTTTCCTGCAACAATATTTATTTTTGGAATAATTTAATAAATGTTAATGAGATGGAGTTTTGTATTTTGCAAGGTGGACATTTTGTACTGAGCAAGACTCATTCTTTAGCAAGATTCAATTGAACATGTTCTGTGCATTTTGAGGAACTTTACTAGTTCACATCCTAAATTAAAGGCTATCAAGATTCTTTTAAATGGAAGTGAAAGTGAATTATTTTATTCAGGGGAAATTTCATTTCTCTAATATTGCAACAGTACTAGCTGTATTCATAGAAAAGTTGGTTCTATTAACATAAAATTAACGTGAAAGTCACTTTTACAGAATAGACTCTGGCATATATTTTTATGTAAAGTCAGTTATGTAAGGAGATTTTGATACTCTCAATCAAGTCTGACTGTGAAGCTCATAGTATATTTTTGGAAGTTATTTTCACTTTTTTTTTTTTGTAACCATAGCTTCATATTTAAATTCATGTGTGACAACCTTGAACAAGGTTTTATAGAATATTTGTCTTACAGGTTCTTCTAGTCCCAGTTTTAAATAAATATTTCTGCACAATGCATAGATACTTTCAACCATCTGTTCTTTACAATATTACTATTTGACATTTACTTGCAGATTTTTATTTATTCTTCTTGGACCATTGGGAAAAGGGCAACAGTACCATGAGATTGGAAGATCAATTGCAACACTAATGACAGATGAGGTATTTCTCTTTGTCACTTGATTTTAGTCATTTTGTACTGACTGAAGAGGTGTAATACAGTATGTCCAATATAGAATCCTCCAACTGAAATGTAGCTCATCTTCCTGAAGGGCCAGGGTTCACTGCATGATGTTGTAGCTGCTGAGATGACTCTGCTGTAAGGAGATACAAATGAGAGAGATGATTCACATGCAAGAAGCAAATACCTTCCCTGAGAAGCTTCCATTTTACAGCTATGTTTCAGTGGAATTAATTTCATTTTATACTGTAAAGTATTTAGAGCTTTTGACACTCCTTGGTGTGTTTTTTTTTTTTTTTGTTATGGCAGGTGCTTTTTGAGAAACTCTAGTCAGTTACGGCTAAATTTTTTTTTCTTTTTGCAAGTGAGAAATAAATAAGCAGCATTCCATATAAGTGAAAAATTACATCTGAGCATTCCTGTCCTATCTCTTTTTCCATCCCACATACATATACTTCTCTTTAATTGCAGGTATTCCATGATGTTGCTTATAAAGCAAAAGACCGCAATGACTTGGTTTCTGGAATTGATGAATTTCTTGACCAGGTCACAGTTCTCCCTCCTGGAGAATGGGACCCAACAATTCGAATAGAACCGCCTAAAAATGTTCCTTCTCAGGTATGTACATTGTAAAATTCAGACGCTTCTAAAGACTTTGAAGATGTTTTCCTGATTAAAATTAGATTATGTTATTTAGCATTCATTATAGAGTGATAAGCATTCAGTAATCAGTATCTCTTGAATACTTGAATAAAGGCCAGTAGCTGTTCCAAAAGTCTTTGGTTTAGAGGGGTAAAAAGCCATCTTGGATTACTTTTTAAAAGAGCTGTTATTTGATTTTCTTGTAATCTTATGGCTACATCTGAGTTTAAAAAAACAAAAAACACTAACAAAAAAGCACAGGAGTGCACATGCATATGAGTGCTTACCTTTCTACAGGTGCACAATTTTCACCAGATTATTTAGAAAAGCACAGAAATCACAGAAGATTACAAAATAAAGGAATTACTTCTTTTTTGTTACTCATATAGTATTGCATGATTGTGACTAAGTATTTAGTATGGATATTACTGAACTCTGACTACTTACTTCAATCATCTCTTCCTCTATCCTTTAATTATGATTGTTGTGCGTTTTGAATTTTCTCTGCATTTTGGTTAAAAATTGTCCATAGAACATGAGATTTAGATTTGATTTATTTTTTGTTTTGTTTGTTGGGTAGATGATCCTGCTTATGCTAGCTTGCCAGTGAAGGCAAAATACAGTGCCCAGTTATGAGTAAGAAGTGATTGAAACAGCCTGGCTAGCTGCTCTCTTGAAATATTTTGTGATACAGGATTTTCTGTGATCACTTCTTTAAATGTCTTAGAACAAAGCTCCTTCTACTTTTTCCCTGCTACAGAGCTCCTCTACTGCTTGTGAAAAAATTGTATTGATGAAGCTTGCAATAAAATGTAAAAAAAAAAAAAAAGACCAAAAACAAACCCAAAAACCCTTTCAAATCCTGAATCCAGTTTGTTAAATCTTGGCATGTAAATGTACATGACATATAAATGTACTTTACATGAGCTTGGAAAGTTGGGAAAATGAATAGACTTTGAGAGGTGCCATGTGTGAGGCTTAGTGTCTCTGCTTACAAAGAGGAATGTATATCTGTGTGTATAAAAGAGATATAGTAACTATTTAAATGTATATACGTATCTAAATTTTTGTCTACTATAAATTTAGATTTATATATAATGTAGATGTACATACATGTTATAATTTATGAATTTATTATTCCATTTCTGTTGGAGGAATAAAATAATCAGAAGTGAAAAAATATGTGAAAATTCATCCTCAGGAAGAACTAGTCACATAGCTTCAGTAATGTGGAGCTCAGCACCTTAATGGGTAGATAAATACATGATAACCTGCAATTACATCTAAATTAGTGCATTAATTCACATCAGGATGGTGTGTTTGAAGCAGATTTTCTAATTGTGCAGCGTATGGGCTGAAATGCTTTGGATGAAGCTGAGCTGGAAGGTGTGCTGCAGGAGAGCTTGTGGGGATTAAGGGCAAGGTGCAGTTCAGTCTGTGGGACTAGACTAGAGCTAGTCAGAAGCTGAAGAAAGAACTAGTCAGAAACTTGGGGTGTATATGGGGCAGGTGTAAAGGCCTCTATATTTCACACTACTGCTTTACTCCTCCTGGACTAACCCACTCCGCAGTGTGAGCAGAGCCATGAGGGTGATGCTGTAGTGGCCACAGTGCTGCCAGGACTCCATCTAATGAGCTTCAAGTAGCTCCCGTAGGTCAAATCATTTTTACTTCTTACTGCAGTGTAGATCAAACTTCAGAAGCACTGCAAGTCACTGAGACACAATTAAATGCCGTTGCATTTTCTATTTCATTTGCATGTTTTTTCCTTGATCTTTTCAACTCTTTATTTTTGAAGGCAGTAAATCTATGCTCCAATAGCAGTCCTGGCAACAAAGCGAAAATGGGAAGCTATAATTCTGTTAATGCATTTTTTCACTCAGTGATTGAAAAGCAGAATACTGCACAAAAGGAAAAGTAATTGTCACTTGCCCATTTACGCTGCTAAATTGTGTTTTGGCAGTTAAGATCTGTGAACAATGTCTTTTCCTTCTCTTAGGAGAAGCGTAAGATCCCAGGAGTGCCAAATGGGACTGCAGCTCATGGGGAACCAGAACATCCTGGTGGACACTCTGGGCCGGAATTACAACGCACTGGAAAGTTAGTGAAACTTGTTTTATGTACAATATCTTAAGTGCTGTAGGTAGTGTACTTGCAAAGAAGTTATAGTGGTCTGTTTCTCTCTCAAATGATACGTGACCGGTGTATAATTTCTTTCAGAAATTATTTCTGATATTGGAAACCTTGTAGATGAAAAAGACTATACTCACTAATTTACAGAGGTGGGGAGATAAGCAGATGGTTTATGGCTTTGCATTGTATTTCTTGCAATCTCCTTTATTGTTTTTAATGGTCAGACCTCTGATAAACTTGATTTATGTCTCTTGTTTCTATACAGCATGAAAGAAAAGTTGTGAAGAGTCTTCTTTCTTATACTATAAAATCTTACAGCTATTTTGCTATTGAGACTTCTGAGTTATGAAGCTCTGGCATTTCTTTTTTTTTTTGCCTCATTAAGCCAAAATCCATCCTGGAACTAAGGCTATTGTTCATAGTGGCTACAATACACACATCTGAAAGAATTTGGTCCAAGGAATACATATACTTAATCTTCTAATTCAGTGTGGTGTAAGTGCACCAGCTGCCAGTGGTCACTTAGCATAGCATCATCATTCTGATAGCTGTGTTCTGGATATTTCCTTTACTTTGCTGCCTCTTGATATTTAAATATCATTCTCACCTGCCTTAAGGCTGAAGATTTGGCTGCAGTATTGGTGAATGAAGAATAACAGAGGGAGGTGATGGCAACTGTGGCTTTAAGTCATTCTTTATCTTCACTAATAAGCCTGGTTTTGTCAACTTGAAGGATCATTCTAATATTTACGAGGTGGTGAAACTTTGTCTTTCTTGTACTCAGTGACATCTGATACTTTGGGCGCCTGAGGGAAAAAAAGAATTGTGGGATATTTACTTGAACTTCGTGGTGTACTGTAAGGACTGTATTTACTTATATTTGGGTAGTGTAATGACAGAAGGTGATAATTTTTGTCCTTGGAAAACTGCAGCCTATATTTAATTGTGTCATCTAATCTATTTAGGAAATGGTTCTTAAAGAAAAGAACACTATCTGTAGAAAATTTATGTGGGCTAACAGGCACTGCAATATCTGATTGAACAAATGCAAAGAATTATTTCTAGCAGGAGTGTAGGCAAACAATAGTAAAGGTTTTGTGTACGGGAGCTAGCAAATATCTGCAAGTTGTTGAAGATTCCAGAAAAGAAATGTGGAAATTAATTTATTCTGAAAACAATTTACTGATCACAGAAATTTTCTTCTAAGGAAGAGTGAATTGTCATTTGATGAAAGAAGAGTTGGTAGTCCTGCTTTAAGGAGCTACTTTAGAAAAGTTCAGTTGGCTTTTACTCACGAATTTCATCTCTTTTATTTTTTAGATTTTTTGGAGGACTGATTTTAGATGTAAAGAGAAAAGCTCCCTTCTTCTGGAGTGACTTCAGAGATGCTCTCAGTCTGCAGTGTCTGGCATCATTTTTGTTTCTCTACTGTGCTTGCATGTCCCCTGTCATCACATTTGGTGGTCTGCTGGGAGAAGCTACTGAAGGTCGTATAGTATGTGTTAAATCTGAACTCTTTAAACAAACTTACTTTCCTAGGTTTGTAGTTAGTATTTTCTTACCATTGCATGAGTCACCTTTAAATTTTGTTATTTAAATGTGTAGAAGGCTACAAGACAAGATATGGGAGAAGGGGCCTGCTTGAAAATTTATGGAAACTTCTCTTTGTATCATATTCAGAGTGCAATAGAATCGCTGTTTGGAGCATCCATGACTGGAATTGCCTACTCTCTCTTCGGTGGACAGCCTCTCACTATACTGGGCAGCACAGGACCAGTTTTGGTGTTTGAGAAAATCCTATTCAAATTTTGCAAGTAAGTGAAGTATCTATATTTAAAATTTCAGATATATTTTTCAGTGTAATGACTAAGTGTATACGCCTGAGTGTATAACCTAAATAACATTTACAGATTCCTTAGTAGCGTGATGAAGATTTCTCACTGATCTGTTTGCATTCTGTTCATGGGTAAGATCGTGATACATATTTTAGCTAAGGTGTTCTTAAATAAAATTAGAACCAATTGTTCCCAAAGATGAATAAGATGAGAAGTTTCTTCTGAGGTGCATTGTTTAGACTTCCAGAATGTGGAAGTTATACAGTGACTAAGACAGATATAATGTAGAAGTGTGTGGTTGCTTTTTGTTGGTTCTTTGCACTCCTTTCGAACAGCTTTAAAAGAGACTTCAAAATAGTCTTGTACTGTGTTATTTCCTCCTCTAAAATGATACATTTAAATGCATGATTTCTCTCATCTCTAATTCAGGCAATGGGTTTTATCCTCTCACTTGTGAAGTAAACATAGTGGTAGTGGCGCCATCTCTCAGTAGTCTCTGATATAATTCCTCCAACTCAGAAGGGATAAAGCATCAGGCTAGAATGACCCACTCCACGTTTATGCTAACAGGCCACATCCATAATGTACCACAGTGTTGGTAAAAATGTGGCCTGCATCTTGACCAAGGCCATGCTTTTCCAAGATCCATTCTGCTTGTCGGCTTCATTGCTGTGAATGGTGCTAGTGCAGCAGGAGAAATGCTGGTCGAGCAAACTCCCCTGGACCTCCTGAACTATGCAGAATAGGGAGGCCCGTTCAGCTTCCCGAGAGCTCTTTATTATCACCTTCTTGTACACCTTTCAACTCTCGAGGATAATGTCATCCAAAATATTTGGAGTTGTGATATGATAGGTAATAAGTGCATGGGATTTTGTTGAGGGAGGAACATCTATCAGAAAAGAAAAAATAAACAGTAGCAAAAAGACAGTTTCTCTAACCTGACATTTGCTGATTTTTATTTTAGCGACTCATGCGATCTAAAAAGAAACTGGCAGATGTTGGCCTTTCCCAAGACAGTTGTATGGGATAAAGAGGTGGGTGGACCTTTTGCACAAGACGCTTATGGCCACTCTGAAAGCTCTCCCCCCACTTTAGTGGAGATGCAGCTCTTTATCTCTCTTTATTTGAGCAGACGGATCAGGTTAGAAGCTGTCTTGATGGTATCTTCAGTTCATGATAACAAAGCAGTTTCTGATTCAGACTGTCCATGGGATCACACATCCCAGACAAAGGAATTTTTTGAGGTGCTTCATCTAAATATAGAAAACTGTGCCTTGACAGAAGATAAACTATGTTTAATTTTGTTTTTCTTTAGAGAGTATGGGTTGTCATACCTTTCTCTGAGAGCTAGCATTGGGCTGTGGACTGCAATCCTGTGCATCATCCTTGTTGCAACTGATGCAAGCTCCCTAGTCTGTTACATTACCCGGTTTACTGAAGAAGCTTTTGCTTCTCTTATCTGCATCATTTTCATTTATGAGGCCTTAGAGAAACTATTTCATCTCAGTGAGACATATCCAATCAACATGCATAATGATTTGGATCTGCTGACTCAATACTCGTAAGTAAGATTTCTTCTGTTAACATTGTTGGGTTTTTGCATAGGTATTTTCCCTGTAAGGAACACAACTAATGCACAGCAGGAAAATTCATGATAGTGGTGAACTTTCATGTGGGAAGTATTTAGTTTGTCTATAATGCACAGTTGAAATGTAGAGATTTTTACTTTGTTTTGTTTCAGTATGCTTACGGTCTGGAATTTTAAGTAGAAAATATCTTGGAGTTTTGGAAAGCTTACACATGAAACTTGGGAGTCTTGGAATGCAAAGTAGGGCTAAATGAGACTTCAGCTTTGTTTTTTTAATTCACCTTTTTGTCTAAATATGTAACTCAGTGATCTCTTACTGTAATTTATATTGATGTTTTGTAATATTTTTGAATGGGCATGCAACATTTTAATGTATTTATGTATTTCTTTTTTCAAATTGAAATGTTAGCTTTCCTAATATTATATTATAGATAAAATAATATATAAATCCAGGTACCTCCTTTATTCTTTCTAACAGCAAAGGTTCAAGCTTCAAGAACTGAAATAGGTTTAGAATTACTTGGTACTGCTCAGCAAAGATTGTTTTTTGTCAAAATCGATTTCTTTTTAATAAGATTTTTTTAGATGAGTCTGCTTTATTGGTGAATTTTGACAAGGAGCATTTGGATAATGAGTATTCTAATTGAGGAATAAAGAAATGTTTTACTTTGATTATGATAGTTTTATTTAGAAGTTTAAAAAAATCCTCAGATTTCTCTCTGTGGTATGAGAGCAAAAATATCCTCCTAGTAAAGGAAAAGATCCTTGTGTAGCCTGCGGCCAATCAAGCCTAAGCCGCTAAGCAGCTAAAATGGCATTAAAAAGCATTTAGAGGAGCGATCTTCCTCCAGAAATGTGTTTATTATTTCGCTGAACCCAGGTGAACCCTCTGCGTGATCCAAAAAGAACAATGCTTGGAGCTAGTGGCTTGAACGGCGCCACTTCTGCTGTTCCCTGGAAAAACAGGAGTGTCTCAACCAAATGTCTCATTTGCATTTTAAGCTGGGAAAAACAAAACGCAGTGGCAGAGAAAACATTTGAGCTGTGTGTATATTATCATTATTAGAAAAATAGATAGTAAATCCTGAATCTTGGTGCATATTATGTATTCTAAAAGGCAAAACAAATTATATTATAGAAACTGTAGTTCTGCTTTCATAAGCCCTCTTGTCATGTTCAAATAATATTACACTCTCTGTAGTAGTTTAATCTGGAGACAAAGGAATACTAAGTTAAAGAAAAACACTATACATATAATATATACTGTGTGTACAGTTGAGGTTATATTGTAGTCTCACTTTACTTCTGTGAAGTCACTATTTCACTTTAGCCTTATCTAATGCAGTGTTATTTGTGGATTTTTTTTTCCATTTATCACTTGAAAGTAGTTATGTCAAAGGTACACAAAATGGGATGTTGTCGCACTCTTTTGCAATATTCTGTGAAGACAAAATTTTATTCAGGCAGCATGTAGCTGGCAGAGCCGAGATGTTAAAATGCCTAATAACAGAAAATATTAATATTTATGATATTTTAGATTACATTATAGCTTTTTTATTTAGGTAGTATATCTGGTTTACTCAAAAATGCTCAAGTCAGGCAAGCCTACTGGAAGAGCTGAAAAAGTTGCTTGTTACTTTGAATACAAAAGAAAAACTTTTTTTTTTTTAATCTTGTGCTTAATATTTTCTAAGTCATTCCAAAGACCTTCAGCCTATTTGGACTGAGACAATATCAAGAAAAACATATGCAGCCTTTTGAAAAAGAAATTAGTGAAAATAGAAATAGTCTAAATTATGTCTTTGAAATAACATGCTAAAAAAACCCTAGACATTCATTGTAGCAGCAAATCACGAAGTCAGCGCTATATTTCAATTATGTGGCTTCTCCAAAGTCACAAAACTATGTATTCCTTCGGTCTCCAGCTTCCTGAAATAAAAGCTTTCTGAATTTGTTTGCTTCCGGGTAAGTGGGAACAATTCCTCACCTCGGTTATCCTCCTTTTCTTCCAAGGAAAAGTCAAATCTCTCCCTTCCTTCCTAGTCCCAAAGGCCAGTGTGGTCTCTTAGTGGTGTGTTGACTTCAACTGTTTTCCCATTTCCATGAGGATTTCCAGGGAATGATTTCCTCTCCCTGTCTCTGAAAATTGATTTTTCCCTTTCCAACAACTCTGTAAGCATTTTCATCTGCTCTCAGCCCTCTCCAGGCAGCCAGTCTACCAGTGAAAAGGGCTGCATGGTCAGTTCTGTGCAGGGAGCCAGGAACAGCTTCTGCAACCTTCAAACCCAGCTCCAATGTCTGTATGTGTCTCAGTTCCAAAGAGATCAAAAAAGTTTCAAACCAGCTATTTGAAATAAAAATCACATTTTTACATTCACAAAGTTGGGGGATATTGCTTTTATGAGGAAGAGAAGCTTGTTGCATAGCATCTGACCCTCGTCCTTCTAGTAGTTTAAATTGGTAATAAATTTGGGCTGAGACTAGTTCTGTCCTTAAAGGACCAGCATATTCTGTTACTGAAGCTAATTAGTATCTGCTGTTTTGCTAATTAAAACAGCTGTTTGCATTTTCCTCTTTGGGGATTTTAAAGACAAATTTTTAATTGTTAGTAAAGCCTTGTCAGTTCTTTAATTAGCAATGGGTGAACTTTGGAAGGTTGAACAACTTGGTTCTCTTCGGCTACTTAGCTTATGTAAAACTTTATCTTCGATGTGCGGTTCTGGGCTAGAAAACTCAGCTTATACTGTATTTTTTTTTTAGGATTTCTAGGATGCCTGTTTCCTACTGCAGAAAAAAAAAAAAGAAGATACATAGTGCAGAGCACAGTGTACATTTCACCCTGCTCTCCTCTGTCCTCCCTTGGCCTTTTCCAGGACACTCTGCTGTCCATAGGTTCTCTATCTGCATCCTGGTGTCGTTTGCCCTGATAGGACATGAGTCTATCCCAGGAAGAGTTACTGGCATGTAAATAGTACTGACCTTTGGAGTACTAGAAAGACAAGGAGAACAAACATTTCAATTGGTTCATATTGGAACCATATGTTTCAAGTGACAAAGAATTACATAGTTGATTACATAGTCCATAACATAGTTTGGGTAGGTTTGACTTCTGTCGTATATCAAACATTTGCATATATCGAGTATAAAAGACTATAATGATGTAGAAAACTATATTGCACGTGTATTGTCTTATGATTTTAGAAGCTATTACTAAAATCTGCCATAACAAGCCTTAGAAAACTTAGAAAATAGAAAAAGCACATAGGACAGTATTTCATTTTGTTGTTCTTTTGCTTTTTTATTAATCAGACAGAATCACATGAAAGTTCTTCTATGTGTTTTTTTAAAAGAATATCTTTGCAAAGTAGAATATATACTTTTGTCTTTCTGTTACAGAATTCTATTTTAAGGAGACAAAGCCATCTTTTCTTTCTTTTTTTTCCCTTCATCTAATTAATGTAAAACTACTATTACTATATGCTTTTTTAGTTCTTTATTCTTCTTTGTTTCTTAGTGTACTTACAGGCAGATTGATTCAGCATCCAGTCCATATGACTTTAAAAATACTGCTTTTAGGGTATGGGCAATACTCACCCTTTCTAGTAATGACTAATATATTTAAGAGCTAATCTAAAGGAGAGCAAATACACCCTGATTTTCTGCCTGCTATGGTGCTTCAACTGTGTGGTTTTTGTCTATTTTTTTTTTAAGATGCATTGTTTTGAGGGAATTTAAATATAGTAGCTACTTGTTTGTTTAAGAAAATACACATACTTTTTGATCTAGGGCTTTCTTTTTCTTACCCTTCTCTTTTTTCTTTTCTAACTATGACCTTTTTGTATTTGTCATGCCATTAGCATTTGTAGGTTGGCATAGCAACTCTTATTTCTGTACCCTCCTCCTGCTTTTTCCCATTCCCTTTTAGTGAATTTTGTGGAACACTGATGCATTTAGGTTTTAATGTGTACAGTAAATACTAGAATATGATTTTACTAGGAAAGGAGATCTCTACAACTTATTTACAAATAAAAGTTCTCAAAAGGAAAAACTGTCTTGGATGATTTGGAAAGCTATAGGGTTTTCTTTACAACACAAGTATTTTGAGGCAGTTGTCTTTGAATACAGAAGATAAATTATTTCTGTGGGTGAGGTTGTTCAGTTCTTGGGACTTAATATACCTTCAGGTTTTTATTAATTCTTTTTTTTTTTTCCAAAGTGATAAATTAATGTTGTTTTTAATAATTCTTTACCAGAAGTTATCCAATTATTAACAGATTACATTGAATAATTTTAAAGTGTATTCTTGGCATAGTAATATGCATATTACAATCTGTCTTGGTATTGACATGCACTTAAGAATTAGAAGTAGAAAATCCCACTCTTGATGTAATTAAGGAGCCAAGATCATGTCAATCTGAATGCCTTATGCAGGCTATAGAAACTAGTGTCTTTAGAAGGCTTTGTAAAAATTAGATTTGTCCATTCTGTTCTCACAAGCAAATTTAAATTTTCATTAGCTATACAGTTTATTAATTTAAAAGATTAGAAATTAAAATTTACATTTAAGAAAATAAATTTACCTAATATAAGTTTACTAAATGCTAGATACTAGATGCAAATTATGTTGTTTTATACCTTGTGTTCCTTGAGCTGCAGTTGAATGAGTAGAGTCAATGACGATAAATAGAAGAAAGTGATGTTGATTTGTACGGATTTGTTCTTACAGTCTCAGACATATAATTTAATTCCAGTTGATGGAATGATTTCTTTGAACTCAAATATGGATGTAGATATTCTTTCTCCATTCCTTACAGTTTTCTTCTACAATCAAGTAAAAAAGTCATATCTGCGATTAACTATCAGGACTTTCCTCTTCCCTAAATCATGCAATTTTTATAATGAAATTCAATTACTGGCTTCCTTTCACTTCTTGACAAAACCTTGAATCTGGAGATTCCTCCTCTGCTTTGTTG